TTGAGAACTGAGAGCAAACTGAGGGTTGATGGGGGGTGGGAGGGAGGAGAGGGTGGGTGATGGGTATTGAGGAGGGCACCTTTTGGGATGAGCACTGGGTGTTGTATGGAAACCAATTTGACAATAAATTTCATATATTGAAAAAAAAAGAAAATGAAAAAATAAAGAAAAGTAGTGAAAAAAGGAAAAGATGTAACTATATCTAGTACAAAATTATTCACAAGTACTGTACTCTTTCTTCATCTACCCAATATTGAGATCTCTTTTCTAATATAATTATCAACCTATTAGAGAACTTTAAGGATTTTCCTCAGCCCACATCCAGGGGCAATAGATCGAGCCCTTGAGCATCCACTATTATCTTTCTTCTGCCCCAAAAGATGAATGGCATTTTGTCTGGGAATAAGATTCTCGGCTCTTAGTTGCAGCTTCTTTTCTGTTTGTAGATATTCTTCCCCCGTCTTCTTGTTTCCAGTGCAGCAAATGAGAATTCTCATGCTAGATTTATTTGCTTTCCTTTTTAAAAATAGCCTCTTCCTTCAGTGTGAAAACTTGCACAGTTCTCCTGTTACCCATGAGGTTCAGGAATTTTGCCAGAATATGTGTACATGTGTATCTTTATTATTGTTGTTGTTGTTATTATTATTATTATTATTATTATCTGGGTGTCAATAAGATAAACACCTCACCAGGGTGCCTGGGTGGCGCAGTCGGTTAAGCGTCCGACTTCAGCCAGATCACGATCTCGCGGTCTGTGGGTTTGAGCCCCGCGTCGGGCTCTGGGCTGATGGCTCAGAGCCTGGAGCCTGTTTCCGATTCTGTGTCTCCCTCTGTCTCTGCCCCTCCCCCGTTCATGCTCTGTCTCTCTCTGTCCCAAAAATAAATAAAAAACGTTGAAAAAAAATTAAAAAAAAAAAAAAGATAAACACCTCACCAAAGTTTATCAAGCCTGATAAAGAAAAACAAAAAGAAAACAAAGTGTACATTTATACATTGGAAATGAAAAAAGAGAAGGACCTGGGTGACTCAGTTGGTTAAGCATCTGACTCTTGGTTATGGCTCAAGGTCATGATCTCATGGTTCATGAGTTCGAGCCCTGCATCGGGCTTGTTGCCGTCAGTGCAGGGCCCCCTTTGGACCCTCTGTCCCCCACTCTCTCTGCTCTTTCCCTGCTTGCACTCTTTCTCAAAAGTAAACCTTGAAAAAAAAAAAAAGAGTTAGAATGCTAAATCGTATGCACATTTTACCACAATAAAAAAAGTCTTACTAGATTTTTATTTTCTTTAACGCTTATTCATTTTTGAGAGACAGAGACAGACTGTGAGTGGGGGAAAAGCAGAGATAGAGGGAGACACAGAATCGGAAGCAGGCTCCAGGCTCCGAGCTGTCAGCACAGAGCCTGAGTCGGGGCTCGAACTCTAAACTGCGAGATTATGACCTGAGCTGAAGTCGGACACTTAACCGACTGAGCCACCCAGGTGCCACAAGATTTTTAAAGCACAAGCAAAGATACGAAGTGAAGGACTCATAATTTTCACGTCGTGGGTATATGACAGCAGATTCACAATACAAAAGCACATCCGTAAGAATCAAAAGTGGGCGTGGGCGGGCCTCGGCTGGTCAGATTCATAGAGTCAGAAAGCAGAATGGTGGCCACTAGGAAATGAGTTTAGTGGGGACAGAGTTTCAGTTGGGGAAGATGAAAAAAGTTCTGGAGATGGGTGGTGGTGATGGTTTCACAACAGTGGGAATGTACTTAATGCCATGGAACGGTACACTTAAAAATGGCTAAAATGATAAGCTCTTTATATTTCACCATAATTTTATTTTTTAATTAATTAATTATTAAGTTTTAAATGTTTATTCGTTTTGGAGAAAGACGGAGAGTGTGAGCAGGGAGGGGCAGAGAGAGGGAGAAAGAGGATCCGAAGCTGGCTCCACGCTGGGCTCGAACTCACCAACCTTGAGATCACCTCGAACTCACGAACCTTGAGATCACGACCTGAACAGAAGTCAGATGCTCAACTGACTGAGCCACCCAGGGCCCCCTTAAAAAGTCGTTTTAAGTGGGCATTTTCGCTTCTAGCTTCGGCCCTCTAAAACAAACATGATGAAGTCTCTGGCGACTCAGGATGTGGAGAAACAGATCCGGTATGTGATGTGCCCGCAGAAGGACAACAGACGGAACACTCAGCTCTGAAGGGAAAACACAAAGAACTCTGGCAGATTCGTACAGGATTTTAAGAAAACGGAATCTGAAAATCGTATAGTGCGTTTGATTTGCTTTTTTTTCCTCAAGCGTCAGTTCCCATGATTTGGGACAGATTACTACAAGTATACACGCGTAAGACAGGAACTAACGGTGCCTTCCCATGCAAACGGGCTTTCCAGATATGATTTGTCTGTGGTTGACCTTACCTGGTACCTGGTACTGCTCCCCAGCCCGCAGCATCAGGTAGCATTTAGCTCCTGGGAGTGTGCGGAATCCACACTGGCCACCAGGGGACAGGAGTCCCCGTGTGGTTCGGACCGGGTAAGAGAAAGGCTGCAAGGAATGAAGGCTCTTAGGGGCGCCATTTTGTACCCTCAGGCTTGAGAGACCTCCAGAAACTCCAGCTACTCACAGGTAAAAAAAGCATTTGACAGAGATTAGGGTGGACTGACCATATTGTCCTCTCTCAACCCTGAGAGAAGCACCCAAATGTCTCAGCTCATGTGACAGGTTTCTTTTCCTGCTAATAGATAGATGATAGATAGATAGATAGATAGATAGATGTATATATACAACCAAAGTGGGACTCGAACTCACAACCCCGGGATCAAAAATGGCATCCTCCACCAACTAAGCCAGCTAGATGCCCCTCCCTGCTATTTATCTCAGTACCTACATCCCTCCTAGCAACCAACGTGTCAGTGGTAAATTCTGTTTCCTGGGCATTTGCAGGGGTACTAACTTTTGTGCCAACTAGAAAAAGAAGTCTCTTCTGGGCAGATACAAGCTGGCAGGCAAAGGACTTGGCGAGTTGACTGATGCTTCTCCGTGAGTTAGAAAAAAAATCCCGTCTTCCTGAGCCGCCCTGTGGTGGTCCTGAGTGGTTACTGAGTACCAGGGACTGTGCTGATGAAGGAGGACTTCAGCTGCCTCCATTTTGACCTCAAACTTGCTAGTTGGGTGTTTCTTTTTTTTTTTTTTTTTTTTATTTATTTATTTTTTTTTTATTTATATATGAAATTTATTGTCAAATTGGTTTCCATACAACACCCAGTGCTCATCCCAAAAGGTGCCCTCCTCAATACCCATCACCCACCCTCCCCTCCCTCCCACCCCCCATCAACCCTCAGTTTGCTCTCAGTTCTCAACAGTCTCTTATGCTTTGGCTCTCTCCCACTCTAACCTCTTTTTTTTTTTTTTTTCCTTCCCCTCCCCCATGGGTTTCTGTTAAGTTTCTCAGGATCCACATAAGAGTGAAACCATATGGTATCTGTCTTTCTCTGTATGGCTTATTTCACTTAGCATCACACTCTCCAGTTCCATCCACGTTGCTACAAAGGGCCATATTTCATTCTTTCTCATTGCCACATTCATTTTCTTCTTAAAAATATTTTTAAAAAATATCTTTAAAGTTTACTCATTCATTCATTCATTCATTTTTTAAGTAATCTCTACGCCAAACACGGGGCTCGAACTCAGGACCCCGAGATCAAGAGTCATGCTCTTCTGACTGAGCCAGCCAGGTGCCCCTATTTTTCCTTTTTCTTTAAAAAATTATTATTATTATTATCATTATTATTATTATTATTATTATTATTATTATTATTATTTTAATGGACAATTTATTCATTCAACATGTTGACTGCCAGGCTCAGCAGCAACTTTCGGAGGTGACAAGGCAGTTGTTCAGTGAAGAGTTTTCAAATAGAAGATACTCTTGGGTGCCTGGGTGGCTCAGTCGTTAAGCATCTGAGTTTGGCTTAGGTCATGATCTCACAGTCGGTGAGTTCGAGTCCCACATCGGGTAAGCTTTGGGTAAAGAGAAAGCAGGGTGAAGCCCTGCTTTGGGTAAAAACAGAACCTCTAGGTGAGCCCTGCTTCTCTTTCTCTCTCTCTCTCTCTGCCCCTGGCTAACTTGCGCCCTCTCTCTCAAAAAAAAAAAAAAAAAAAAAAAAAAAGTAGATACTCTTAAGGAGTGCCTTGGGTGGCTGGTTGGTTAAGTGTCCAACTCCTGATTTCAGTTCAGATATTGATCGCAGGGTCATGAGTTCAAGTTCCACACCACAGGGAGCCTACTTAAAAAATATGCACATAAGAGGAGTTGAGCCTGAGAATGGATGGGAAAATGAGGAATAAAATTGCAGTTTCTAAACTTTTTTTTTGGTAAAGATTTATTTATTTACTTACTTACTTACTTAATTTAAGTAATCTCTACAACCAATGGAGGGCTTGAATTCATGACCCTGACATCGAGGGTCACATGTCCTACCAACTGACCCAGCCAGTCACAAACTCTTTTTTTTTAAATGTGTATTTATTTGATTTTTTTTTTAATTTTTTTTTCAACGTTTATTTATTTTTGGGACAGAGAGAGACAGAGCATGAAAGGGGGAGGGGCAGAGAGAGAGAGGGAGACACAGAATTGGAAACAGGCTCCAGGCTCTGAGCCATCCGCCCAGAGCCCGACGCGGGGCTCGAACTCACGGAGTGCGAGATCATGACCTGGCTGAAGTCGGACGCTTAACCGACTGCGCCACCCAGGCGCCCCTTTATTTGATTTTTTTAAATGTTTGTTTATTTTTGTGAGAGAGAGAGAGACAAAGCACGAGCAGGGGAGGAGCAGAGGGAGAGGGAGACACAGAATCTGAAGCAGGCTCCAGGCTCTGTGTGGGACTCGAACTCAAGAGCTATGAGATCATGACCTGAGTTGAAGTTGGACGCTTAACCGACTGAGCCACCCAGGCGCCCCTATTTATTTTTAGAGAGAGAGAGTGTGTGCACACGAGCTGCAGAGGAGTAGAGAGAATCTTAAGCAGGATCCACACTGACAGCGAAGAGGGTCATCTCGATCTCATGGGGCTCGATCTCATGAACAGTGAGATCATGACCTGAGCCTAAATCAAAAGTCGGGTGCTTAGCCAACTGAGCCACCCAGGCGACCCGGCTCCTCTAAACCTTTGATCTGGGTTAAGAGGTGGGGGTATGAGTAGGTAAAATGTTTTGGATTCTGTGTCTCCCTCTCTCTCTCTGCCCCTCCCCCGCTTGCATTTTCTCTCTCACTCAAAAATAAACAAATCTTAAAAAAAAAAAGTAGGAGCGACAGCGACGCAAGATGGCAGCCACCACGGGCTCGGGAGTAAAAGTCCCTCGCAATTTTCGACTGTTGGAAGAACTGGAAGAAGGCCAGAAAGGAGTAGGAGATGGCACAGTTAGCTGGGGTCTAGAAGATGATGAAGACATGACACTTACAAGAAGGACAGGGATGATAATTGGGCCTCCAAGAACAATTTATGAAAACCGAATATACAGCCTTAAAATAGAATGGGGACCTAAATACCCAGAAGCTCCCCCCTTTGTAAGATCTGTAACAAAAATTAATCTGAATGGAGTTAATAGTTCTAATGGACTGGTGGACCCAAGAGCCATATCAGTGCTAGCAAAATGGCAGAATTCATATAGCATCAAAGTCGTCCTGCAAGAGCCCCGGCGCCTGATGATGTCTAAAGAAAACATGAAACTCCCTCAGCCGCCTGAAGGACAGTGTTACAGCAATTAATCAAAAAGAAAAACCACAGGCCCTCCCCCTACTCCCTCCCATTCGATTTAAGCAGTCTTCATTTTCCACAGTAGTAAAGTTTTCCAGATACGTCTTGTAGACCTCAAAGTACTGGAAAGGAAGCTCCCATTCAAAGGCAATTTATCTTAAGATACTGGAAACGATACTAATTTTTTTTGTCCACTTAAAATATATGTTGTGCTATAACAAATCATCCTGTCAAGTGTAACCACTGTCCACATAGTTGAACTTCTGGGATCAAGAAAGTATATTTAAATGGGTTCCCATCATAACTGGTGGGGCACATCTAACTCAACTGTGAAAAGACACATCACACAATCACCTTGCTGCTGATTACACGGCCTGGGGTCTCTGCCTTCTCCCCTTCTCCTCCCCCTGCCCCCCTGCCTGCCTCCCTCCCTCCCTCCCTCCCTGCAACAGCCCTCCAGCTTGGGGTGGCTTGCTAGACTAGGTGTGAAGGTTTCAGGTCACAGCCTGTGGGACTACTGCTGGGTGTGTGTGGGTGCTCCAGCTGCACCCCTGCTTTTTTTAAGTCTTAAATGATGCCCCCCCACGCCCCCTCCCCCAAGCCATTGTCCCTTCTTCACTTTCCACCACCACCCTTGGCCGAAGCATAGATTGTAACCCCCTCTGCTACCCTCTGAAATTGGCCTTTGGTGAGGAATTCAGGGCTCTCCCCATATCTTCTCCCCCACCTTAATCAAGGGGTGCCACCTTTTCCTTCCTCCTCCTCAACTCCCTTTTTGTACCATCACCACCCAACACTTTCCACAATACTTCCTTGCTTTGGCCAGAAGCCATCAGGTAAGGTTGGAAAGAGTCTCTGACTTCCCTCGTTTAGTTTTGGAACCCCATTTACTCACTCTCCACCAGCCTGGGAATGAATATTGGGTCCTCAGCCCTGCCACCCTCTGCTGTCATCGTCAGCTGATGCGGTTTTTTAGCTCAGGTTTTGATAAAGTGAAAAGAACAGTCACCAGGGGTACTCACACCTGCCAGCTCTCAAAGTTCCTGGTGGTTAAACTTGGAGAAAGGCCACAGAAGACACTTGTAAGCACCCACGATCCCTCTGAATGAATTTTCTTTTCCTGTAATTGCTTTTGCTTTTAAAAATTGAAGAAGTTTTACACAGGGTTCTCATGTGGTCATCTTGCAATCCGTTTGGGTCTAGTTTGGAATGTGGCAACTGGAACAAAAAGAACCTTGAATTCGGTGCATACTTCGGTTTTGGTGCTGCTGTTTCTCACGGTCCTCAGCAGGGATTAAAAAAGAACTCGGTGTGCACAGCAGATCCCTGAAATTGGCGGGCTTGACTTCCTGGCAAATCGCTGCGTTTTTCCACTTTTCTGTTCAGGACCACTAAATGCTGAGATGTGGATGCATACCGAAATAAAAGCGATTCACTGGGTTCAAAAAAAAAAAAAAAAAAAAAAAGTAAACACATCATACTGTTAAGGTAGCTTGAAATGGAGAAAACAATTCAGAGTTGTTGCACATCCAGAACCCAAGAAGAAGGCAATTAAAGAGGTGTCTGACCCTGGGAATAACATTGATTCAATCAAGAGTGACTAGCATAATAGGAACAAATAGTCTACCTCTCAGATGAGTAGTAGTGAAACAATATAAAATTAATGGAATGAAGTTAGGTATATTTGAGAAAATGAGTGATTTTCATAGGATAATTGTTGATGGCACAACAGGTTGATGGTATCAAGCAGGCTTTTTGTTGTTGTTGTAGAAATAACAGCTGATTCTATACTTTATATGGAAACTCACAGGACTTAGAAAGGCTAACCCAATCTCAGAGAAGACCAAATCTGGAGGGCTTCCTCTGATTTCGAGACTAAGCCAAGTGAGACAGAGTGGCCTTGGTGTAAGGATAGCTACGTAGATCAACAACTAGATATTCCCTGAGTTTGAGCCCTGCACCGGACTCTGTGCTGACAGAGCAGAGCCTGCCTGGGATTCTCTCCTCTCTCTCTGCCCCTCCCCCGCTGATGCTGTCTCTCTCTCAAAATAAACAAACATTAAAAAAGAAAAAAATTAACAAGACTGACAATACTGAATGTTGTGAGAGTGTAAACTGATGCTCTCCTACATTGCTGGTGGAGTATAAAATGGGACAGCCATTCTGCAAAACTGGCAGTTCTTACAAAAACATAATCTATGACCCAGCAAGTCCACTCCCATGTATATAGTGAAATGGGTTCACAGAAAGACTTGTACGCAAGAGTGAATGTAAATGGCAGCTTTCTTGCATAACTGTCTCCAAACTGGAAACAACCCAGATGTCCATCAACAGGAGAATAAACTGCGATGTACTTAGAAGTCAAATATTACCTAGCAATTAAAAAAACAATTGATACACAAAACAGCATGGATGGTTCTCAAGAACATTATGCTGAGTGAAAGATGTAAGACATAAAAGAGTACAAGATGCTTTTCAAAAAATCGTCGATGTTCATTTTTGAGAGAGAGACAGAATGTGAGCAGGGACAGAGAAAGAGGGAGACACAGAATCCAAAGAAGGCTCCAGGCTTTGAGCTGTCAGCACAGAGCCCGATGCAGGGCTCAGGGCTTGAACCCAGGGCTTGAACCCACGGGGCTTGGGGCTCGAACCTGTGAACGATGAGCCATGAGATCATGACCTGAGGCAAAGTCAGACACCGACTAAGCCACCCAGGCGCCCTCTAAAATGAATTTCAAGAATAGGTAAAACTAACCTATGTGATAATCCCCTGTTTTCTTCTACCTGAGAGAAACTCTCTGGAGTGCTGGAAATGTTCTATCTTTGAACTGGTGGTGGTTACATAGGCTTTGCTTTTAAAATATCTGCATTTTGCTGTATATAAACTATACATACCTTCAATAAAGAAAATAGGAAAAACTGAAACTATAGATTATTTGGAAATTTTTAAGAAAAAAAACCCCACTTCATATGAAACTCTATTGGACACAGTTAAAGCCATACTCAGAGGAAAATGCATAGTCATTAATATTTTGATTACCGGGGCGCCTGGGTGGCTCAGTCAGTTGAGCGTCCCAACTTCTCCTCAGGTCATGATCTCTGGGTTCACAAGTTCGAGCCCCTCATCCGGCTCTGTGCTGACAGCTCAGAGCCTGGAGCCTGCTTCAGATTCTGCTTCAGATTCTGTGTTTCCCTCTCTCTTCCCCTCCCCCACTCCTGCTCTGTCTCTGTCTCTGAAAAATAAACAAACATTAATATTTTGGTTACCAAAAAATACTAAAAATAAACCATTTAGGGGCGCCTGGGTGGCGCAGTCGGTTAAGCGTCCGACTTCAGCCAGGTCACGATCTCGCGGTCCGTGAGTTCGAGCCCCGCGTCGGGCTCTGGGCTGATGGCTCAGAGCCTGGAGCCTGTTTCTGATTCTGTGTCTCCCTCTGTCTCTGCCCCTCCCCCGTTCATGCTCTGTCTCTCTCTGTCCCAAAAAAATAAATAAACGTTGAAAAAAAAATAAACTATTTAATTCAATAAACTATTACACTAATAAGGTAAAAATAGTGTTAATAAAGAGGAAGGTCGAAATTAAGGAAGTAGAAAATAAAACAGTAGAAAAGTGAGTAAAAGAAAATGATATTTCTTTGAAGATAGGAATAAAATAAAGCAAGGAATAGGTTTAGCAAATACCTGGGCGCCATCAGTGGTTCCTGTGATTTTTGTCTTGAAACGTTGGTGCTCTCCTAACCGTGGGATTTGGTGCCGTTCATTCATTTACTAAATTAAAAAAAACAATCTGTTGAGGGGCCTGGGTGGCTCAGTCAGTTGGATGTCTGACTCTTGGTTTCCGCTCCAGTCATGATCTCTTGGTTCGTGGGCCCCAGACCCCGGGACGGGTCTGCGTTGGGAGTGCGGGGCCTGTTTGGGATAATCTCTCTCTCTCTTCCTCTGCCTCTACCCCCCCCCCCCAAACTTGCGCTATCTCAAAATAAACAAATAAACATTAAAAAAAAAATCTGTTTCATAATCTGGCAGGAGAGACCAAGTTTAAGAGCCACGATTTCAGCTGCTATTTGTCTGGCAGACAGCAGGTGCCCGGCCATTTACACGCATGAGCTCATTTCAGGTGCATGATGGCTCCTGCAAGGTAGGTACTGCCCTCCTCTTGGAGACGGAGTTACCCCAGGCTGGCCGCTCCGATGTGGCTGTGCATTCAGGGCTGACCCTGGACTCTCCAGGTCAAGAATGTAGGGAATCAGAGGGGACGGAGGCTCCTCCGCAGGTGCCAGTGGGCTGTGGGTGTCGCGAGCGGAGGCCCGAGGCGCCGTCCCGTTAGGCCTGCAGGGTGGAGCGGGCAGGTGCAGGCCCTGAGGCGGGCGGGAGAGCGGGGGCTGTAACTTGCAGCCCCCGGGGCCGGGGGGAGGGGT